AAATAAATATAACAATAGGATCATAAAATATAGTTGAGTAAGATTTATATAAATATAGAAAAAAAATCTATTTTGGTCCCAATATAATCAAAATTTATCAACTTTTGTCCCAATATAAAAACTCATCAATTTTAGTCTCATTTGTTAACAATTTCAATCAGATTTGGTCTCATTATAAATAATTTCAATTAATTTTGGTCTCACAGGTGATGTAGCAGCTGACATGAAAACTACACGGTCATGTACAATTATACACGGTCATATTGTTACATGGTCATGTATATTTCAGTGTATAATTATACATGACCATGTTGTTATACGACCATGTATAATTTTACACGGCCGTGTACCTTTCTGTTTTGGTTTAAAATTTTAATTTATTTTATATATTTTTTAAGAAAAATATTTTGATTTAGAATAGTTGATATAGTTAAAACGGAAAAAATCAATAGTAATCATAATATAATTAAAATGTATCAATTTTAATTCAAATATAAAAATTTATAAGATATATTCTTTTGAAATATTTTTTCTAAAATTTTGTTATTCATAAAAAGTTTTCCTCTTACAAACATCCAATTACACAACTATTTTTTATTTTTTTTATATTATATTGGTATTAAAAATTAATTTATTATTTCAATACCATAATATATGTCTATGTTGAAATTGTTTGAAATTGTATTGAAATGTAAAATTAATTTTTAATATTATAATATACAAAAATAAAAATAGTTGTGTAATTGAATGTTTTTAAGAGAATTTTTTTTGGTATATATTAGAATTTTAGATAAACTCTTCCAAAATAGCATACTCAATAAATATTTATATTTGAACTAAAATTGATATATTTTTTAATTATATTATGATTATTATTAATTTTTTTTTCCATTTTAACTATATGAACTATTATAAATTCAAAATATTTTTTTAAAAAAAATATATATAACAAAATAAAATAAAATTTTTAGGCCAAAACAGAAAGGTACACGATCGTGTAGAATTATATATGGTCATGTAACAATATGACTATGTATAATTATACACTGAAATATACATGTCCGTGTGACAACATGGTCATGTATAATTGTACATGGCTGTGTAGTTTCCATGTAAGCTACCACGTCACCTCCGTTATGTCCACGTCAGCAATTTCTATTAGTTTTTTTAACAGTGAGACCAAAATTGATTAAAATTGTTTATAGTGAAACAAAAATTGATTAAAATTGTTTATAATAAGACTAAAATCGATGAATTTTTTATATTATGACCAACAATAATAAATTTTAATTATATCGAAATCAAAATTAATTTTTTCCCATAAATATAATATACAGTTTATGCAATATAGTATATACAGGTAGTAGATGTATAGATATATGTAAAGGTGTGTGTATTTAATATTAAAGAAGAGAGAAAGAGAGATCCATGAGATAGAGTATAAAGATAGAGAGAGTAGAGTCATTGGTCCTATTAATTCAATTTACAATTTTTTTTTAAATAGGCTTGTGTTTGTTTAAATAATTTTCAAATATTTTTACTATTCACTAATTTTATTTTTTTTTAAAAAAAATATCAAATCAAATAATTATTTTTTATTTTTTTATACTCCCTCCGTCCCATAACAAGGTATTCATCTACCTTTTGAGTCATTGTACTTAACGTTAAAAATATCCTTATATTTATATAATTTTTTATACAAATATCATTATATTAGTATTATAAGACACTAATAGAAATATTTTTGCAATTTTTCCTTGATTTGTAATATATTTTAATATAATAATTAATATTTAAAAATCAACATGCAAAAAGTAAATGAATACTTAGTTATGAAACAGAAGAAAATATTATATTAAAAATTAATTTTTACATTTAAAATAGCACATTATATTATCATTCAAATTAAAAAATATTATTATTCAAATCCCAACTTAAAATTTAAACCCCAAATAAACACACGGATAATGTGATTAGTCATCACAATTTAGCCAGTTGACATTATTGCGTAAAAACACGTACATCTCTCACGTCAATTAAATGACACATAATGAATGAATCATAACACTTTGGATTTTTTTTAGGATTTATTTCATATTGACTTTTTTATATTATTTTGTAACTATACAATTTTATAATTTCTTTTACAAGAACACCAATATCTTATCCATCATTATTACCTTAAAAGTTAAAAAAAAATAATAAAAAATCAAAACTTTAAAATAATATAAAAAAATTATTTTTATTTTCTAAAGCATTATAAAATATGTATACTACTCTCCCCGTCTCACGCATCGTATTCACGTTATTATGTTCGTTCATTTCACATCTCATATATTTATTTTTACAAAAAGAATTATATACTTTAATTTTATTCTGTCATAAAAATATTCACCAAAAGTGTATCCTTATCTCTACATTTTACTTTGGATATATTCGTTTGGAGATTTAATTTGATTTTTATTATTTATAAAAAGAAAATTCTTAAAAAATATTGGATCATATATTATTTAACTTTTTTAATTATATTAAAATTGAATTTTATATTTAAAATATCACATCAATACCTATTCATATTACATAAAATAACTATTCAAATTTATAATTTTATTATTTAAATCAAAATCCAAAATGCAAACCCAAAACAAACACATATTCTTAATCATCTACCTCAATAAATATGAGTATGTATATATATATATATATATATTAATATTAAAATTATTTATTTTGAAAATTAAAGTTGAATATATATATATATAGCATTATGTAGAAATAAAATTTTATCAAAATAAAAAATAATAAAAATAAATAAATACAAGTAATAAATATACAAAAAAGAAGTTTACTTCTTGGGTATTTTTTTCATAGATACCAAGAAATATTTTGATATTTTTTATTCGACTAGAGAAGGGCGGATGATCTGATATATTTATAATGTAGTTGAAAATTAAAATATTGTAATATTATACTCTCCTGTCTCAAATACTGTGCAATATTTATCTTTGGCACAAAAATTTAAGTGGAGAATATTAAGTATGATAATTTGAAATAATTTGAATATTAAATGATGTGATTGGATAGAGAAACGATTATTTGTTTTTTTATTTGAGTGATTTGATGAGATAAAGTGAAGTGTATATTAATATATATATATATATAAATATTATTAATTATTTCTAAATTTAAAAATATTGCAGTGAATTTGAGACAAACAAAAAATGAAATATTGCAGGGTGTTTGGGACGGAGGAAGTATGTGATTGTTTGTATTATAATAAAATAAAGATACATTTGAATAAAATGAACAAAAATGCTATAGATGATACTTTTAAATACTCGGGGAGAGAGTAACAAAAACTCTTTAGGAGGGTTATTGATAAACAATTTTTTCAAGAGTTTTCAGCTTATTGAAGAGCTTTTGGTTGTTTGACCAGTAAACTAGCTAATTTTAGTATTGGCTAAATTAGCGTTTTCAATTAGCTTATTGGATCCGAAAAGTTAATTTTGAAAAAGTCATATATACCAGCATTTCAGATTAGCTTTTCCATTTATTACTTATTTGCCAGTAAAATTAATTTATTCTTTCACATATATTCATATATTTTTTTAGTACACTATTTATTAATTATTTAGTTTTATTTTCTTCTAATAATTTATAAATTCAAATTTATAAATTTAAAATAATTAATTTTTTATATGTCAATTATCTTATTTATAATTCTTTTTAATTTTTTAGAATAAAGATAATATAAAAATATTAATATTATTAAATCAATTATATATCATTTTTATCACATAATATATTTATTAAAAATGAATATATTTATTTAAAATTATATTAATGTAATATATATTAATTAAAAATTAATCTAATCAAAATACATATGTTAATAATTTTTGTTCTTTTATATTTATACTATTTCTAATAAGAAAATATATATTTTTTTCAATAAGCTTGCATTAATTCTTTACAAAATATTTTTGAAATAATAAAAACAAATAGCTTACTAATTTTTTTTAATTTTTAAAATTAATAAAATTATAAAAAAATCTACCCAAAAAAAAAACTCAACTAAATATTTTGAAAATAAAATATAAAATATCTTTAATTGTCATTTTACGTATAAACAACTAATATCAAACCGCTATTTTACCAAACACTTTAATACAGACAGCTAATCGAATGAGCCAGTCAAACCAGCTAATCGAATCAACTAACAACTAACAACGAATCAAATTTGCTAACGGTTAACAGCTATCGGCTAATTGTCAAAACACCATAGATAAGTCAATCAAATTTATTTTTGTTTTATTTTTTGTTTGTCTACAAACAAATATGCATTTTTCACTTTTATTGCAAATAATTTTTTCATACTTCTTGATTTATATCATTCAATGTTGCACTTATTTATAATTTATGCATTCAATTTTCAAAAAGTTTCTCTTACTTTATTAATTCATTTATATACTTCCAAAATATTTTTATTGTATATCACAATCAGCTAATATAATACTATACTGATTTATTAAGATTTATATATCAATGTTGGTTGACTCCCGTTTGTAAATAAATAATTAAATGATGTCATATCCCAAAAATTTAAGTTTTTAAGTGAGATAGTCATTTACTACATCTAACATTGTATCAGAGTCTTAAGGTTACTGTAACTATTTGATTTATTAAGTTTAAATATATTTAATAAGTGCGAGTCTTTTATGTATAAAACTTGGTCAGATTTATTTATTTTAAAATGTTAATGTAACTATTTGATTTATTGAGTTTAAATATATTTAGCAAGTACGAATCTTTTATGTACAAAAAAATTATCAGATTTATTTATTTTATTATCTCAATTATTTTAATACGACGGATCATATGCGTGCAAGTAATAAAAGCAGCCATAAATGGTTGTAGCACCAAAGCATCTCTAGTTTCTATATAGTCACATAAAGGCAAAGAACGACTCTTACTCGACACCATACTATTTCCGTGTAATCTTTATTATTATTATTATTATTATTATTATGTCTGAATTAGCAGCGGAGCTTGTGTTCATCCCCTCGCCGGGGCTGAGCCACGTCATCCCCACCATCGAGGCCGCCAAGCTCCTCCTCGCCCGCGGTGGCGGCGATGATCGGCGCTGCCGTCTCAGTATCACTGTCCTTATCGTGAGGCTCCCTGAAAAAGGAGATGAACAAAAAGACAAGATGTTGTCCGAAATCAAAGAAACAATCCCCGACATCCGATTCATCGACTTGCCTTTTGACCATATCGTCCCCGGCGCCGACTCCCCGACTTTCCGATTCACCTATATCCTTAGCCGCGCCGACAAGATCAAGCAAATATTGTCCGATTTGATCGAGAAGCCTTCCGTCCCCGGCTCGCGCCTAGCCGGCCTCGTCCTCGACATGTTTTGCACCAATCTTATTCAGGTATATATATATATCGAAAAATTATATAATACTCCCTATGTCGTAATAATACATATTTTTAGTAGATTAAATTTTTTTAAATGAAATGATCATTTTTTATTTTTAACACATAAAATGCCGTATATTGGAATACTAATACTATATATAATATATAAACATGTACTCTCTCCGTCCCAGATACCATGTCTATGTTGCCGTTTCTGTTCGTCTCACATACCATATCATTTTCTTTTTTTAGAAAATGATTACACTTTAATTTTTTTTTAATTTTAATTAAACTAATTAGTTATCTTAATCTTAATTTATAATTATTTATATTATATGATAATTATTTTCACTAATATATTCTTAATTATCTACTAATTACACCACTCCTAAAATACCGTGTCTACAGTGTAGCAGACACGGTATCTGGGACGGAGGGAGTATTATATATATTATGTATATATATAAAGTTGTATTAGAGGTGGACGTATGTAAAATGATATTGATATTTTTGTTTTTACAAATATAAATAAAAAAACTAAAATAAAATTGTAAAAAGTTAATGAATATTTTGATATTTGTTTATTGATACTTTTGTTATAACGGAGTATATAATTAATTTTATTTTATTTTTTTGTAAAAAAAAAATAAAAACAATAAAACATAGTAAAAATTATATTCAGAATATTTTTTTAATTGTTATTTTTATCCAAACCCAATAGAGAATATCACTGTTTCCTATCCCAATTGTTCCTGCAGAATTGACAGGTTTTGTTCCCATTCTCTATACTATTTGTAGAAAGTTTTATATATGAGACATGTCCAGGGCTTAAATTCTAAGATAAAAATCATAAAAAAATTAATAAATTTTAATTAAATGAATATAATTATTTTTTTTATTTTTCATATATTTTTATTTATTTTAGAATTTTATTTATTAATTAACTTTTTAATTACAGCTGTGTTTCTTCTCCTCTCTCCCTTTCTTTCTTATGCCCAGTGTGTATATATATATATATTCTTTATAGATAGAAAATAAAAAAATATATATATAAATGTATTAAAAAAACAATAATTTTAAAGTGTGTTTTTTTTGGTTGAGTTTGGAAAAAATTGATTTAAATTGGACATTAAAATAATATTTGAAAAAAATATATATACTCCTTCCATTCATAACAAAGTATCCATTTTTTTTAGTAATTGTACTATCTACCTAACATTACAAATATCCTTACAATTTATAATATATTACACAAATATCATTATCTTTATATCACATACTAATAAAAGATTATTTTAGTCATTTCTATTTAATTCATACTACATTCTAATATAATACTAATATTTCTAAAACTATATGTAAAAAGTAATAAATATCTAGTTATGGAACGGATGGAGTATTTTTCTTTTGAAAAAACGCAGAATCGAAATCGTAAAAATTTGGATATATTTAGCTACTTATTATCATTTAATTGGTGGAGCTAGTGGAAATTGAATTAGAGTCGTGTTATTAAGGACGTGTAACAATAATTCTAACATTATTTTTTTTTTTCCAAACATTATTATTTTTTTTTTCCAAACATTATTATTCTTTATCACAGAAGCTCGTAGGAAATAATGGCTCCACAACAAACCTTTTAAAAACCTTACATTTTAAATATAATAAAAAAATAAATTTAATGTGATATTTCATAAACATACTACTTTAATATAATATATATTTTTTTATGAAAAAATAACTTTTGATGAATAGTACTACAAAATGCTGGAAGAACTTTATGATTCCTCCGGTGGCGGATTTAGAATTTTTAATTTGCTGAGTCGATAAATTAATAAAATTAAAATAAATAAATACATTTACAAAAATTCGTATTAAAAAACTTCAAAATTTTAAATTAACAATCACCAATACATCAAAATAACTACAATAGTTCACAACGAGATCTTATATTTTGGTATTGGTTGACAATAATATTTATACTAACTTTCGTAAACACATCTCTTTCTAGAAAAGTAACGAAAAAATTATTGAATAATTAATCTTTTATACTATTCCATAATTTGTTGAAAAACGTTTCATAAAAGGTGTTTCATTTTTCTTTGTCTCAACAAATTTTTATAGAAAGTTCATTTAGATTCTTCAAATTTCAAAATATCTCGTTACGTTGAACATCAATAATGAAATTATCCAATAATAATTCAAAAATCATCAATTTTGCTTTTAAAAATTCAGTACCATATAATTTTGCAAGTAGCTACAATCTCTATAAGAGAAAATTTATTAAAGAGAAAAAAATGCAAGACATTAATAATTTTTTTAGTGGTCTTGTCGAATATTACAGTTGTCTTTTGTGTATGAAATAAATATAGCACTAATATTTATAAATATATTTATAATTTTAGTGATAATTAGTACTATTAATTTTATTTTTTTTTGGTAGGTCAATTGACCTACCTTGCCTAATGTTGCATCCGCTCTGGGCGTCACCTAGGATAATAATTCTGAAAATTGTAAAAATTTTAATCTGTTTGATGATTTGAAGCTGATTTTTTTTTTTTATGTGAATTTTTATTTAAATAGTGTTTAAGTTGAATAAGTATGTAAATAGTAAATCTTTTTTATTTGAGAAAAAAAAAGAAACATGGTTCATATATTTTTTGCATTATACCTTCCAAGTTTTTCTTCAAGTATTTTTTTCGATTCGATTAATTTATTTATATATATATATATATATAAAATACCACACATCTTTTAAGTTGTATTTAGTTCACATATTTTATTTTTTTTAGTTCACATATTTTTATTTACATACAAACTTTCTATGTTGTAATATTTAAATTAATAGTAGTATATATTTTTTATTTCTAATATTATATTGGGGCTCCCTTGGCGAAAAAAAAAAAAAGAATGATATTAAATGCTGAAAATTTAATTTCAGGACTTTTGTTGAATGCTTAAAATTTTATTACTCTAATTTTTATAATTAAATAATACAAATTATATAATTATTTTTTTGTTTTGGGGATTAGATTTGAAATACACTATTCATTCCATTTTTTCTTCCAAAAATATCAAATCAAACATCTAATTTTTATTTTTTATATGATACTAAAAATCAATTTTACATTTAAAACATCACATCAACACCTCTTTATATGATATCATACAACTATTCAAATTCAAAATTTTTACTATTCAAATCACAACTCAAAATTCAAACCCTAAACGAACACACCCTTAAAAAGTATCGACATGGTGCTGAATTTATGCACTATCAATTTATAATAAATAATTTATATATATATATTTAATATATACCTTCGACATTATATATATGTACAAAAATATTATAATTATTTATACAGTTAATTTATCATAATTTTTTTTTTTTAATCTCATTAATTCATTCATGATGCCAATCAATCAATAAAATAATATACTCTCTTCGTCCCAAACATCATGCTAATATTTTTTTTTAATTTGTCTCAAATTCACTGTAACATTTTCAAATATTTATACACATATATTAATATACACTTCACTTTATCTCATCACATTACTCAAATAAAAACACAAATAATCATTTTTCTCTCCAATCACATCACTTAAAATCTAAATTATCTCAAATTACTATACTTAATACTCTTCACCTAAATTTCTGTGCCAAACACAAATGTTGCACAGTGTTTGGGACGGATGGAGTATTTATTAAAAGTAATGCCCAATTCAAATGAAAATATAATTTGTGACATAAGGAGTATGTTTTATTTAGAAATATTTAGAACACTTAAACAACATTTTAAATTTATTTTAATTATATATTACATAATAACTAACCAGCAATTAGATAAATTTCATCCAATCAAACTTCTAACCATATTTTCAACTATTAACCAAACAAATAATTATGGATAATATAATTAATTAGCTTAATTAAGATTAAAAAATATTTTATAAAATTTAAAATACACTATAGTGTATTATTTTTTAAAAAATAAAAAAAGGAAAAAAATATAACATACCGAAATAAGAAAAGTAGACCTATTAAATAAATTAATATTTATTTTATTTTATTTTTTATGACTCACGATCATATTTGATTATATTTTGATAGCTCATGTAATGCAGGTAGGTGAAGAGTTGAGCATTCCATCCTACGTGTACTACACTGCTGGAGCATTCAGTCTTGGCGTGTATTACGACATCGTTTCACTCAAATTCGAACAAAATCAGGACCTGGCACAGTACAAGGATTCCGACACACAAGTCTCCTCGCGATGCGCCTCACAGCCTCTCCCCGCCAAAGTACTTACTCGCATCTTCGTCAACGGCAGCCCTCTCGGAGATATCTTCCTCCAATACTTCCGGAAGTTCGCCTCTGCCAAAGGAGTTCTCATCAACACCTTCTACGAACTCGAATCCTACGCCGTCGATTCTCTGTCCGCTCATTACAAAAGCTACCCAAAGGTTTACCCGATCGGACCCATTCTGAAGGACAATCAGGGCTCCGGCGATCCGTCGGTAGACGATTTGATGACGTGGCTAGACGATCAGCCGGAGGAGTCGGTGGTGTTTCTGTGCTTCGGGACGATGGGGGCGTTCGAAGGAGCTCAGGTTCGGGAATTCGCCGAGGCTCTGGAAGGTTCCGGAAGTAGGTTCGTGTGGTCGTTGCGGAAGCCGACCTCGTCGTTGCTTCCGGGCGAGTACGGCGACTACGGCGAGGTTCTGCCGGAGGGTTTTCTGGAGCGGACGGCGGGGGTGGGGCGGGTTATCGGGTGGGCGCCGCAGGTGGCGGTGCTGGCGCACAGGGCGGTGGGGGGATTCGTGTCGCACTGCGGGTGGAACTCGGTGCTGGAGAGCGTGTGGCACGGTGTTCCGGTGGCGGCGCTGCCGCTGTACGGAGAGCAGCAGATAAATGCATTCGAGCTGGTGAGGGAGTTGGGGATGGCGGAGGAGATAAGGATTGATTACAGGATAGATATCGCTGGCCAGGAGAAGGCGGAGATTGTCCCGGCGGGGGATATCGAGGCGGCGATCCGGCGGTTGATGGCGGCGGACGGCGGCGCGAGGGGGAGAGTGAAGGAGATGCAGAGGAAGAGCCGAGAGGTTTTGAAGGAAGAGGGGTCGTCGTACGCTTCGCAAGTGGAGTTTTTCCAGGATGTGTTGAGAAGCGTCGGATTGGAATAATGATTTGAATTATGACCGTTGGATTTGGGTCTTGCATTTACTGGATTTTACACCCTTATCATTTTAGGCATGTGCTCACGTAATTTGTGTTTGTGTTTGGTCCTGTTTTTAAATTCTTATGCTACCATATGTATTGGCAAAAAATTATGGTTATGTTCTTTTTAGAGTTGAATTTTATGGAATTTTTATTATTAATTATTGCGGATTATCGAAACGTTATGAGAAATTATGATTGTGTTTGCTTTGTAGATAAGTATTAATTGGTATTCCGATTAATTATCGTTAATGTAGTGTGCTATTGTACATTAATAGACATGAAAAATCGTTGTTGTTATCGTATTGATGTTTAAGAGTGAGCACGGTGCTGATTAAATATGTACCGTTTGATTTTTAGAACTTAGTATCCAATTGTCAATAATTAATAAATAAGGTTACTTTTATAATTTTGCTATACACTCTGATTAACCAATCTATATTTGCAAAAAAAAATACAAAAAATTAATAATAGTGGAGATGATAGCAAAATTTGTTATAAAATAGCAGAAAACATCAGTCTATAAACATGACATTGGAGTACATCTTATTATTATTACTGTACTGGATGATCTTATTATTTAATGTCAGTGCTCTTAACTAAATTATATTGGCTTTTTTCAGTATATTGAAACAATTAATAATTTATAATCAATGAATTAAATCATATCTATAAATACAAAAAATTTTAATATTAAAATTCCTGAAAAGTATAATTATTATATTACGATTGTACAATCAAAATATTTGAAGAGCATATAAATCACTTCAAAATGGCATAATAGTAATCTCAAAAGAGCACAATAAAATAAAATATAAAATTTAAAATATAATTAAAGCGTATATGCTGAAAAAAAAAAAAACATAAAACATACAATAAATCAATTATATGCATTAAATGAGAAAAAATTGGAAAACTGAAAATGAAGATAAAGACAAAATTATTTATTTTAATACTCCTTCCGTCCCGCATACCATATCCATGTTTCTATCTACGTAGCATGTCACTTTTTCTTAAAAAAAATGATTATACACTTTAATCTCATTTTAAAATTTTAAATTTTTTCTTAAATTTTAATTAAACTAATTAGTTATTTTAATCTTAATTTATAATTATTTATTTTATAAGATAATTATTTTCACTAATATATTTTTAATTATCTACTAATTACACCCCTCTTAAAATACCGTGTCTACAGTGTAGCAGATACGATATTTGGGACGGAGGTAGTATTAACTATTGGATTAAGATGTAATCCATCGAATAATGACTAATCAACACCATTCTGATAATTATTAATCAACGAGCTAACCAATATATTATAGTGTTTTGGACTAGAAACATAACAAATAATAGTAGAATTTATAAAACTAGCGTATAACAACCGTACTATATATAAATATAGCACAAAATTAGTAAGTCAAATTACAATGAAGGACCTCCTCGGAGGGGTGTGTTTGTTTGGGGAATTGGATTAGATTTTCATTATTTATTCCATTTTTTTCCCTAAAAATCAAACACCTATTTTTTATTTTTTATATTATACTAAAAATAAATTTTACATTTAAAAGATCACATCAACACCTATTTATATCACATCATACAACTATTCAAATCCCAACTTAAAATCCAAACCCCCAAACAAACACACTAAATTGAAGCCGGATATGACAGTAACTACTATTAATTTCATAAATTTATTTCTCCATAAATTTACATCCAACACTTGCTTATTTTAGTTGAAAAGCACTAAATATCACTTGATTAATAAGACATAGCGTTTTTGGCTATCAATTCACTTAGGGTGCGATTGTTTGGTGGATTGGATTTTAAATATACTATTCATTTTATTTTTTTTTCTCCAAAAACATCAAATTAAATACCTATTTTTCATTTTTTATATTATACTAAAAATCAATTTTACATTAAAAAATATCACATCAACACCTATTTATATCATATCATACAACTATTCAAATTCAAAATTTTTACTATTCAAATCCTAACTCAAAATCCAAACCCCAAACAAATACACCCAGCGTAAATTCTTACTTTATTTTAAAAAATTAGATGACGTTCCCTTATACTTAAAAAAATATTGCATGAAATCTCCTCATCATGAAAAAAAAAAAAGATAGAAAATCATCTTCTGATCACATAAAGGAAGTTTCATAGCGGTGGGGATGCAACGTTTTAAAGTATAAGGAGGCGATATGTCATTTTAAAAGTACAGAGAAATTTTATTTTACCTTTAAATTATATGATTGGCTACAATAATCCCAAGTTATGGGGTAAGATACAGATGACTTTAGAATTGTCTCATGGTATTAGGCTGGCTACAATGCGCCCTTTCCGTTGTAAAGGTTGGCCGATCCCGACGCGGTGTTTGTTTCTATTTTTTATTTTCTGTTGCGCTTTTGGGTAATCGACTTGGATGCAATCCAAGTCACGTGTGTTGGCTCGAGTATGTTGTAATGTGTGTTGGTTCGAGTATTTTGAGCTTTGTTTTTACTGCATTCTAACTGCGGAAGTCATGTATCTTATTTGGGCTTTGTTCTCTGGCCACCGATTTGGGTATGAAGATGTTTTTTCTTCCGATGATGTCAAAAACGACAAGATTTCCGCCGCAAAGAAGAATTTGGGATATGTGGCGATCCCTGCGGATGCGAAAGTGGTTGACGATGACATCATATACAAAAACAGCTCCCTCTTCAATTCCTCTCCAGCAAGGTGAGCGTACGCATCACTCTCCCTATGCCGGTGAGCGACTTGAATTTATTTCGGGAATTTTTTAACCATAATAATATTTTGTATTGAATGGATGACCATTATTTCGGGACTTTGGAGACCTGTTGGAATTAAAGATCATGTCCCATGTAAAAATACTTTTATCCTATAAAGTTCTTTTTTTTTTTTTGAATGCAAGTTGTGTATCTTATAAATATAATAATAATATTATAATGTAAGAATATAATTATCAAACTAAATTCGATATCAAAATAATTTTATCAAAATAAATTCGATAATCGCAATAATTTATCAAAATAAATTCGATATCATCTTGAGTCGAGGTCGAACTTTCCGTAAAAATGAATACGCGCCGGTAGTGCCTCAAGTTTGTGGCGCAACATTTCTAAAGATAAAACGACGTTCGTCTCCGAATCAAGTGGCAGTATATACCTTCAAGGTACGCAATATATGTACCTTTTTTTTTTTTTTTTTTCGCAATATATGTACCTTTAAGGTAACAAGGGCAATGAATGTCGGAAAAGAAAATATTGGCAAAAATAGAAAGATGGGATCCAATATAAATTAAATTCACTAGCAAAACAGAAATTTTTTGGACCCATTGTTCAAACACCTAAATGTGTTAAGCCTATTGGTTATAAATGAGTATTTGTTCAAAAACGAAATGAGAATAATAAAATTGCCAGGTATAAAGCAAGGTTTATAGCCCAAAGTTTTTCACAGATATCAGAAATTGATTATAATGAAACGTATTCTCCAGTAATTGATAGAATAATATTCTTATCTGTTTGCAGTTCATGAAAATTTGGGTATGTGTCTGATAGACGTCGTAACTGTCTATTTATATGGCTAATTGGATAGTGATTTCTACGTGAAAAATCCTGAAGGATTTTGTATACCTGATGCATACAAATCAAAGCCAAAACAATTTTATTCTATTAAATTACAAAACTTTTCGTATGGCTCAAGCAATCTAGTCGCATGTGGTACAATCGTCTCAGTAATCATTGATAAAAAATGATATACTAATGATTTTGTTTGTCCATGTATTTTTATAAAAAAAAAATGGTACAAAATTTGTTATCATAGTTGTTCATGTGGACGACTTCAACTTAATTGGAACTTTCGAAGAGCTCCAAAAAGCTACTAAATACTTGAAAAATGAATTTGAAATTGAGGATTTTGGAAAAATAAAATTCTGTTTTGGCCTACACTTAAAAAATGAAATTTTAATCCATAAATATGTATATACCCTTCTGGGTATTGAAATGGTTTGCAATGGATAAATTATATTTATTAAGTACTCTGATGTTTGTTAGAACTCTCAATCATATTAATGATCCTTTTAGACCAAAAGAAGAGAGTAATGAAGCAATTGGTCCTAAAGTACTATATTTAAGTGCTATTTGCGCACTAATGTATATGGTGAACGATACAAGACCAACCATAACATTTGTTGTAAATTTATTAGCAAGATTAGTCCAATACCAACACAACGACATTAGAAAGGCATTAAACATATTTTTCGGTATTTTCAAGGAACAATTGATCTCGGTTTATTATATTCAAGGAATTCTCGATATGAATTGATTGAATATGCAGACGTTTGGTATCTTTCTGACCTGCATGACTATATATTTATCTTGGGTGGTACAGTGGTATTCTGGAGATACACTAACAAATATTAGCTGTAACATCTTTAAATCATCTTGAATTAATAGCAATTTATGAGGCTAGTCGAAAATATATCTTGTTAAGATTAATGACTCACCACATTTTAAAGAATTGTGATTTGAGATCTGAAAATTATAATCCTCCTATTATTTTATACGAAAATAATGCAGTTTGTATAGCGCAATTGAAAGGAGGATATATCAAGGGAGATAGATGTTAAAAAAATTATAATGAAACATATTCCACCAAAATTTTTCTTTACTCATGATCTTTTGATGTGATATTTTAAATATAATATTAATTTTTAGTAGAATATAACAAATAAAAATTAGTTATTTAATTTACTATTTTTAGAGAAAAATAAATTTAATGAATAGTAATAATATTAAAAAATCATTTAAACAAACAGACTGTAAATTGAACTAATGGGACCAATGACTTTACTCTCTCCTCTATACTCTGTCTCACTGATCTCTCTTTCTCTCTCTTTTAATATTAAATACACACACCTTTACATATATCTATACATCTACTATCTATATATTCTATATATTGCATATATTATATACTTCTTTCGTTTTTTAACAATTTATCTATTTTTTTATTTTAGTCCATTCTATAATAAAGTATCTGTTTTCTTTTTTAGTAATTGTATTATCTACCTAATATTACAAATATCCTTCTAATTTACAATATATTACACAAATGTTATTACC